AATTCTACCAGAAATTCAAAGAAGAGCTAATTCCAATACTCCTCAAAGTATTCCACACAATAGAAGCAGGAGGCTCACTGCCAAACTCTTTCTACGAGGCTACAATTACCTTGATACCCAAGCCACACAAAGACACAACTAAGAAAGAGAACTATAGACCAATTTCCCTCATGAACATTGATGCAAAAATACTCAATAAAATACTCGCAAACCGGATTCAAGAACACATCAGAAAAATCATCCACCATGATCAAGTAGGCTTCATCCCAGGAATGCAGGGATGGTTCAACATTAGAAAATCTATCAATGTAATCCACCATATTAACAATCTGCGAAAGAAAAACCACATGATCATCTCACTAGATGCTGAAAAAGCCTTTGACAAAATCCAGCACCCCTCCATGATAAAGGTCCTAGAGAGATCAGGGATAACAGGAATGTACCTGAATATAATAAAAGCAATATACAGTAAACCAACAGCTAACATCAAACTAAATGGAGAGAAACTCAAAGCAATTCCTCTAAAATCAGGAACAAGACAAGGCTGTCCACTCTCTCCATATCTCTTCAATATTGTACTTGAAGTTCTAGCTACAGCAATAAGACAACAAAAGGAGATAAAGGGGATACAAATAGGAAAAGAAGAAGTCAAGCTTTCACTATTTGCAGATGATATGATAGTTTACATAAGTGACCCAAAAACTCCGCAAGGTTACTCCTAGAGCTGATAAACACCTTCAGCAATGTGGGGTAAACTCAAAAAAATCAGTGGCCCTATTATATACAGATGATGAAGTGACTGAGAAAGAAATCAGAGAAACATCACCCTTTACAATAGCCAAAAACAGCATCAAATATCTGGGGATAATGTTAACCAAGGAAGTGAAAGACCTGTATATCAAGAACTTTGTGTCCTTAAAGAAAGAAATCAAAGAAGATACCAGAAAATGGAAAGATCTCCCATGCTCTTGGGTTGGTAGGATCAACATAATAAAAATGGCAATCTTGCCAAAAGCAGTCTACAGATTCAATGCAATCTCTATCAAAATTCCATCACAATTCTTCAAGGACCTGGAAAGAACATTAATCAACTTTATATGGAAAAACAAAAGGCCCAGGATAGCTAAAACATCCCTATACAATAAAGGAACTTCAGGAGGCATCACCATACCTGACTTCAAGCTCTATTATAGAGCTATAGTCCTGAAAACAGCTTGGTATTGGCACAAAAATAGGCAGGTAGACCAATGGAACCAAATTGAAAGCCCTAATTTTAACCCACACACCTATGAACACTTGATTTTTGACAAAGAAGCTAAAACTGTACAATGGAAAAAAGAAAGCATCTTCAACAAATGGTGCTGGCATAACTGGGTACTGGTATGCAGAAGACTGCAGATAGATCCAGGTTTATCGCCTTGTACAAACTTAAGTCCAAATGGATCAAAGATCTCAACATAAATCCAGCCACACTGAAACTTTTAGAAGAGAAAGTGGGAGATACTCTTCAACGAGTTGGTACAGGAGACCACTTCCTAAACATAACACCAGTGGCACAGGCACTGAGATCGACAACAAATGGGACCTTCTGAAACTAAAGAGCTTCTGTAAGGCAAAGGACACAGTCAAAAAGACAAAAAGTCAGGCCACAGAATGGGAAAAGATATTCACTAACCCTACATCTGACAGAGGGCTAATCTCCAAAATTTACAAAGAACTCAAGAAACAAGTCTCCAAAACACCAAAGGATCCAATTAAAAGTGGGGTACAGAGCTAAATAGAGAATTCTCAGTAGAGGAAGCTAAAATGGCCAAGAGACAGTATGGCGATTCCTCAGGAAAATGGGAATTAATCTACCACTAGACCCAGCAATTCCACTCTTAGGCATATATCCAAATGAGGCAAGTTCATACAACAAGGGCATCTGCTCCACTATGTTCATAGCAGCATTATTTGTAATAGCCAGAACCTGGAAGCAACCTAGATGCCCCTCAACTGAAGAGTGGATAGAGAAAATGTGGTGCATTTGCACAATGGAGTATTACTCAGCAGAAAAAAACAATGGAATCCTGAAATTCGCAGGGAAATGGATAGCACTGGAAGAAACCATCCTGAGTGAGGTAACCCAGTCGCAAAAAGACAAACATGGTATGTACTCACTCATATATGGATTTTAGACATGGATCAGGATAGTGCCAGTTTGCACTTCCACTGATAGAGAGTCTGGGAAACAGGAAAGAACCTAAAAGATATGCATATATGCATAGTACCCAAGAGAAGAGGATGGAGACAAGATCCCCTGAATGGATGGGGAACACGGCGAGGGGCGGGGGGAGTGGGACCTGGGAAGAAGAGAGGGGGTGAAGAGGAAGAGAGTTGGTCATGGGGGAAAAGGAATTTGAGGGGGTGGGGGTAGAATAGGGGGAAGAGGGAATCATAGGATCGAATACAGACCAGGCACCAGAGCGACCTTGAGTGATCTAAAGGGATAACACCAATTGGCAAGCTAAGCAATAGTGGAGAGACCACCTCGAATGCCCATTCCTGATAATGAACTTGATGTCTATAACCATCCGGGAGCCTTCATCCTGTGACTGATGGAAGCAGAGGCAAACACACAATTAATCACTGAACTGAACCCAAGAAACCCAGTGACAGAGAGAGAGGAGTGATGAGCAAATTGGCAAAGAATGGGCTGGCAAAACCAGCAGAGACAGCTGATCTGAAGAGGGGAGAGCTCTTGGACCCCAGACAGACAGTGGGGAGGCCAGCATGGGACTGATCTGGACCCCCCAAATGTGAGTGTCAGCAAGAAGGCCTGGGCAACCTATGGGGCCCTGAGCTGTGGATCAGTGTCTATCCCTGATATACAAACAATCTTCGTGTGCCTATAGCACAAAGAGGGATGCCTGGACTCTTAGGGGAGTGCCTGGACCCTACCCAGAGTAAAATGACAGACTCTGATATCCCCTATGTGGAAGGATTTGGCAATAGGGTGGGAGGGTGGGGGGGGAGGGGAATGTGGGAGGAGGGGAGGGAGAGGGAACTGGGATTGACATGTAAAACAAGCTATTTAAAATAAAAAAAAAAAAACAGGAAAACATGTTAATACCATTAACAAAGATCCAAAGGCAAAACCTGGGTTTATGATTTACCTGGGTTTATGGTTATGACTATATTAGTAAATTGAAGTTCAGGGAACATAATTTCTCAAGAACAGATGAAACAGTATTATTCCATCTCTACCTCCAATCACAATGCTCATTTCTACTTACTACCTTCAAACAGCTCAATGCCTACTTAACCAGATCCTTGTTCTACTCCCACTATTTCTGTATGCTGTAGGTCTCCTGTGATTGACTGTCACAAGTGAGCTGACACCAGGATATATTGTGTCTGAAAGCATTTACATCCTCCCTCCCTCCCTCCACAGCAATAAATGCAATGAAAGAAGAACATGAAGTGAGTATTAGGCACGAGCAGAAGGGTAGAAGGCACACTGTTTAATTTAATGCAAAGTAACTTCCAAGGATCTCCGCTTATTTGCTCTCTCCACAAGCTATGTATTAGCAAACTTGTCCTACTTGCCCGTTTGCTTTTTATGAGACATGTCATACTTACCAGCTTTAACTCATGGCTCTATCCTCCCCATCCTAAAGTTTGAGCACTGGACTAGCTAAGAACTTACATTTCTTCTCTCTCTATTTGCTTTCTCATTATTCCTTAACTTGTCTTCTCAGGATGCTTTGTGCCTACTTGCATCACACTCTCAAGTACTGGTTGGGGTTTATTACTGATTCTTGGATAGAGTGGCATACCCTCTTTGTCTCCCATCAAGGTCCTATCACTACAGCCCTCAGCACTTCTTAAGCTGGAACACATATTGCCTTCACATTCAGAATACCCTGAACATGTAGACATAATTCCTATACTTAGCAGCACGCAGCAGACCCTTTCAGTCTAAAATCATATGCAGTTCTAGCAAATTGTATACCTTGTACTTTACTGCTTTTTCTTTAAAATTTCTTAGATATTGTATTTCCTTTGAATGATACATCATGTTAAAATTAGTCTCTCAATATTCTCCATTTCTCTATTTTTGGTTTTTGATTCCCAGATATACTCCAAAATTGGTTCCTGACTCTTTCCTTATTTTATTTTCATTATAGTGATCAAAAACAAGAAGTATAAAAACAAATGACTTTTTCAAAAAAAAAAATGGGCCTGAGTCCTAAACAAAGAGGTCTCAAAATAAAGGAGGATGGTGGTTAAAAAAAATAGCTCAAAAAATGTTCTTAGTCCCTAGCAATTAGAGAAATGCAAATCAAAACAATTTTGAAATTTTTGTCTTACCAATCAGTTGGAAAAAAATCAACAATACAACAAATGCTGGAGGAAATGTGAGGAAAGGGAAACCCACCTTCACCATTGGGATTTAAAGCTGATCTAGGCACTCTAGATATCAGTGTGGTAGAGTCCTCAAAAAGCTAAAATAAAACCTACCATATGACCCACATATATATATATCTCACTTCTTAGCATATGTCCAAAGGACTCAAAAGCCCACTTAATAGACACTGCTCAGCCATGTTCATTGCTCTCTATGCATACTAGCTAGGAAATAAAAACCACGTACATGTTCTTCAACTAATGAATGGGTAATGAAATGGATATGGCACATATATGGAATGGAAAAATAGTGAAAGCAACACTAATGTAATTAGTGATGTTTATCACAAATATAGTTAAAACAGTCCTACAAATTAACAAATGAAAACATATCCTCCACAAAATAAAACAGCTTCACTAATTTACATATTACTATATACTGCTGAAAACCATAAAATTAACAGTTATTTACTAATAGGTACTATTGCAAGTAATAGGTTATACTCAATACTTTGATTGTTTCATAAAGTCTCTATACTATTTACAAGAAGGTACATGCATACATGTTCATACAACAGAAAAACGAGTCACTGGCTTTTAGACTCAATTACCTTTGCAATAATGACTTCTTTCTTCAGAATCTTCATAGCATAATATTTTCCACTTGCCTTTTCTCGAACTAAAATAACCTTCCCAAAAGTGCCTTTACCTAGTAGTTTCAAATAATCAAAGTCATTCATTGTCTGAAAAATATAAATTAGAAAATCATAATAAAATTGTTAGCATAATTTACTGTTAATCTGCTTCCAATACTAGCACTGTAAACTCAATATTGATCCTACTACTTTCTAGACTAATTTGAATGAAAAAAGCAACCTTTGATACCGAACATACTTAATGCAGTTTTCAGAGTTTGCAGAAATTATTTTGAACTTAGAATTTCTCCAAGGGTCAAATTAATAGTTATCTGACAGAGGACTTTTAAAAAATAAAGCAAGGTTTGTAAAAAGTATTTTCATGTTCTCGGATTTTGCTAAATTAAGTACTACCTCAGAAAAGGTGGTATCCAGTAACAAACACATAAAAGTTTTAAATTATAAGCAAAGAAACATTTTTTTGAAGAAACAGGAGAAAAGAGTAATTAAAACTGTAAACCTCCAACCAGATTGATCAGGAATATAGACACAAAGATAAAATTATCAACATGAGACGATAAAGGTGACATCACTACAAAACCTACAGATATTAAAGGGACCAAAAGAGAATAAACAGCTTTATGCCAATAAAATTGACACTGAAATGAAATGAGAAAATTATCTACATTGCAAACTACAAAAGCTCACTGACAAAGTAACAGAGAAACTGAACAGTCCTATATAAGAACTGAATCTGTACTAAAATTTTTACAATAAGGGAAAGTCCATTAACATTTAAAGAAAAAAATGGTATCAGTTCTATACAAACTCTTCTTGAAAACTGAAATGGATAAATATTTTTTCAATTCACTGTTTGAGGCCAGAATCACTCTGACATTAAAACCACTTTAAATATTTCATAAATGAATGGCTACATTCAATTTTAACATCCCTTGCCTATAATTCTGATAATTTTATTCAAATGTCAAATTATAATGTCTTAAAATATCTAGTTCAAAGAAAAAAAGTAAATGTCAAAAAGAGCAGGAGAAATAACATATTCTTATTGATTCAATTATAAATCAAATGTAGTTGTACATATGTGGGAATAGTCAATTAGAAAGATAATAGATAACTAGACATAGGATAGGGGACCAAACTGTGAGACCCCAAACATGACTGTCTTGTTTCCACCAAGCAGCAGTCTGTCTCTTTCCCACTTCTAACCCCTTCCTCTCCCTTCCTCCTTCCCTGACTCTCAGTATCTGACTGACATTTTAAATAGTATTGCTTCTGAGCTTATAAGTACACGATTTCCCCATTCCCTTTCCTCTTTCCAGTCACTCCTTGCATGCTCCTGTTCTTCCCAAAGCATGGCTTCTTTAAATTGTCTTTGATCAAATAGTCTATGCCCACTCCAGAGTCAGCCTTTAGACAGAAATGGCATCTGATGTTTTTTTCTGTCTTACAAAGTCTCAAGAGATGGCTTTCCTTCTGTGTGAAGGCTGAGGTTGTCTTGTTGGAGGAAAGACTATGTACTAAGACCCTGCAAGATAAGATGCCACATGTACAGAGCAACTGCAGAAGCCATGAGGGTAACAAAGGCAAAAGTCAACACCAAACCCTGGGCCCTAACAGAAAGTTTTCTTTGACTTTTCAAGGTCAGAACATGGACAGCCAAAAATAACTTACTTAAAGATCTATGCAAGAAGAGTAGAACAACCTATCCAGCAACAAAACCATAAGAAATAGCACAGCTATTGTTTCCGGAAATTCCATGGCAATAAACAGGCCGGAAAAAAAAAAAAAAAGGTCTCGTAACCAGGCCAAAAATTCATTTCATTGTTCAACATGGTATTTATTTTTTATCTAAAAACACCAAAAAAAGATACCTAATACACACAATGACTAAACGCTATTGTTATCCCCAAGTTTCGAAGACAAAAACAGAATAATAATTTGTAAATTGCTTTATGACATTTTCAGATAAAAATCAACATATATAAAACATTATTACATTCCTCAAAGGTTGCAATTTTTAGGGCTGAGGCCAAAACAGCAGAATAATATAACAGTCTTTAACTGAATTTTTTTGTGTCACTTTGTCCACTTTTTGAAAAAGGAATTTACATATACACTAATATTCGTTAAGTAGTATTCTTTATGTTATCATTAGAAAGAGGTTGTGTATCTATTTAGACAGAACTTCAGCAAATTAAAAGGGTCTTTATAGCAAATGCACATGCTCAGACTGGCACACACAGAAACTACCTAATATTTGCAAAATGTTTTCTTTTGGGGCTACAAGAAAACATATGATAAAAATGTTAGTGATAAACAGCAAAGGAAGCAATTCCAAGGCTAGGCACGACAGAACAAACCTATAATCCTAAAGACCACAGTACTGTAATAGATGCAAAGCTAACCTGGGCTACATAGCGTGTGTGTGCGCGTGCGTGCATGCGTGTGTGTGCATTCATTTGCACATGCGCACAAGCACACACACAAATATATACACATACATATACAGAGATAAGGAGGAAAGTATCACTAGATTGGCGGGATGGATAATCTTCAGAAATATGAATCCTTTAAAACTGGCTCTTTTAACTTCCAAAATCAATGTCTATACACAACAAAAGTCTTACAAATGTATTCAAATAATACACATCCCTTTGAAACATCTTTTAATTCAAACAGAATGATTTGATATCTGATTCTCAGACCGTGACTCTTATCTCCAGAACATAATGTCTCTCTTTTCAAGAGCCCGAGGTGTTTGGACAAATACTGTGGCAATATTCTACTTTGGGAACAAGTCAATGACTGCATGGCCAAGATGCAAAAGTCAAGACTGTTCTCAGCACAGCTATCATGACCATTAGGTGTCCTCTGAATAGTATTGTCCATTAAAAAAAAAAGAAGCCAATGTATTTTAACAAGTATGAAAACTGCTTTATTCTGAAAGTGTTAAAGTCCAAAATTAAAAGAAAATTGTAATCACATTTTTTTTTTCATGGTGACTGATGCCCATACAGGAAACAGTTCTAAATCTAGTTGTCATATTGTGACTGTTATATCAAACCACTTTAAGCTAAATCACTGAACTCATTGTAGAGCAGCCAGTGGTACAAACATTCCTTATTTATACTCCTGTGATTTAAAACTATTTTAAACTACCACATACACCTAAAATTTTATGAAAAAAAATCAATGGAAACGATATTTGGTTAAGAATTCAAGGCCCAATGCTTCTATCAGCTGGGCCTGTAGCAGAGACGTGTACTGCCAGCCACTTGTGAAGCTGAGTCAGGGGTTTTGTATGTTAAAGGCAATCTTGAATATAGCATAGGCTCAAGGCCACACTAGACAACTTAGTAAGAAGCTATCTAAAATTTTAAAAGAATAAAAACTAACCATAAATACAGCTCATAACATGTATGAGGTCCTATGTTCGATCCTCAATCTTGAAAAAAAAATCTGTTTTTTAATTTTTAAACTTATGTTTCCGTAAATAATTCCAAGACAATCTATAGAAAAATGTTTAATTACTTGTATGGGACAAAGTAAGATACTAATTACAATCTATGATGATATTTTGCTTATGATCTAACATACAAAGCTTGCCTGAAGATCAGAGTGCAAAGTTAGTCACACTACTTAGCTATAGAGGACAGCAGTGGTGGCACACACCTTTAATCCCAAAACTTGGGAGACAGAAACAGACAGATCTGTTAGTTCAAGGCTACAAAACACTGAATCTGCCTAAAAGAGAAACAGCTCAAACAAAGGTGATCCCAACACATGGGATCATACTCCTTTAATCCCAGCACTAGAGAGGAATATAAGGTGGGAGGAGACAGGAGCTCAATGAAATCTGAGGTTTGGTGGAGACAGATGGAGTCTGGAGATGTAATCTGGGGACAGGATTGCCCCTTAGGTCTACACATTGTTAGAAGGGAGGACTCTAGTGACTGGCTGCTTTGCTTTCCTGATATTCAGCACTAACCCCAATGCCTAACTGTGGGGTGTTTAATTATTAATACCAATTAGAAGTCAAACATTCACTATTTGCAGATAATATGATAGTTTACATAAGTGATCCAACAAACTTTACCAGAGAACTCCTACAGCTGATAAGCACTTTTAGGAAAGTGGCAGCATACAAAATTAACTTAAAAAAATCAATAGCTCTACTATATACAGTCAATAAATGGGCTGAGAAAGAAATCAGAGAAACATCACCCTTTCCAATAGCCACAAAGAATATAAAATATCTTGGGGGTAACGCTAACCAAACAAGTGAAAGACCTGTAAAACTAGAACTTTGAGTCTTAAAAGAAAGAAATTAAAGAAGATACCAGAAAATGGAAAGATCTCCCATGCTCTTGGATAGGTAGGATCAACATAGCACAATTCTTCACAAACCTTGAAAGAACAATACTCAACTTTATATGGAAAAACAAAATACCCAGGATAGCCAAAACAACAGAAACTAGGATGACCCAAAGAGAAGAACGCATGGTCCTTGAAGAAGAGGAGGGGGACAAGAACCCCTGAGCTAACTGATAGCACAAGGTGGAGGGGGGGAGTCAGAAGGGGAGAGGGAGAAGGGGAAGGGAACAGGAGAGGACAGGAGGACTGAGACAGGGGAGGAATAGAGGAGGGCAAGAAAGGAGATGCCTTAATAGAGGAAGCCAGTATAGGTTTGGAGAGAGTTCTGGCACAGGGGAAAAGTTAGGGGATCCACAGAGATGACCCCAACTAAGAATCTAGGCAGTGATGGAGAAGCCTTTGATGCTCTGCCACTATAATGAGATTGATGACTGCCTTGGCTGCCATTCCTAGAGCCTTCATCCAGTAACTGATCAAAGCAGAAGCAGGCACCCACAGCTAAACACTGAACCATACTCCTGTAATCCAGTTGCGGAGAGGGAGGAGGGATGGGCAAAAAGATTTTGCTGGAGAAACCAGCAGAAACAGCTGACCTGACCTAGTAAAAGCATGGAGACCCTAGTCGTAAATCTGGGGAATCAGCATTGGACTTAACCAAGCCCTCTGAATGTGGGTGCCAGCTGGAAGGTGAGGGTATTCTATGGGATCTCTAATAGTGGAGCCAGTGTTTATCCCAGAGCACAAATGGATTTTGGGAGCCCATTCCCAAAGGAGGGATATTATTGCAGCCCAGATACAAGAAAGAGAGCCTAGGCCTCCCCCAAATGATGTGAAGAACTTTGATGGTCCCCTGTGAAGGGCCTCATTAGCCTTGGAAAGTGGATGGGGATTCGGTGGAGAGCATTGGAGGGCAAGGGAATGGGGGATTGATATGTAAACAAGAGTGCTTCTAAAATAACTAAAAAAGAAATCATGCTACAACAATTATTGAAACTGACCCTATATTTACTATATTTAAATGCAAAATACCCCCTTTATCTTAAGACTCACAAATACATGACTAGGTACAATAGTTATTCCATTTTGCTAGATCCAGCAGATAAAGGGTGGGTTAGGAGTTTTACCCAGTCATTAGGATTCAGGGATCTTCATATTCTATCTCTATTTTACAGTAACATTCTGCTGATATATGATCCAAAGAAATGTTACACAGAGAGGTTACACAATGTATAATTAAAAGATTTAAATATATGAGTATAATATTTAATTTGTATTACCAGACAACTATAAAATGGCATATTAGTATATACCTCAAGTGACTTTTATTTGGATAAGATAAATGCAAAAGTCCTGCTCAGAGAGTACTACAAAATAAGCACAAAACAAATGTTTATTAATGGTTAATTAGCGAAAAAGATGAATTACACTCAACTTAGTAATTATAAAAAGGAAAAAAGTATGATTCAGTTATTATCACTTATAACCAGTCTTCTCAAGAAAACACCCTCACATATTTCCACTATTATATCTTTAAAAATGTGTCTCTATTCAATTTTATTGCTGATCAATATCCATACTTATATTTAATATTTTCCATTGCTTGGATGTAGTACATCAAGTTACAGTGTTACAAACTCACCATTTTCAATTCCTGGCTTAACAGTATCTTACTGATCTGTTAAGCATATATTTAGAATTCCAGAAAATTAAACAGGGTAGAGCTGGTATAGCTTGCTTTTAAATGCAGTAGTCTAAAATTCAAAGGATGAGATTAATTGGAACTTGATTCAAATTTATTGGCACAGTCAAACTTCAAGTTAAACACATTCATGCAAAAGGAAATTTCTCTTCTGAATAAATGAGTAAAGATAGGTTATGTTCATCTTCCTGACTGAGAAATCAACTTATCAATAATCTATATATTCAAATCAACAACTACAAGAAAGAGGATAGGTCTACATAAAGGGGGCATATAGAAGTGGCACAGCAGCTAAGCACACTGGCTGATCAACTACAGAATTTGAGTTCATTCCCACGTGATACTCACAACTAATGCCCCTCTTCTCAACTCCCTGGGCACGGCACACACTTGGTGCACAGACGATCTTGAAAGCAAAATATCCATATTTTGTATATAAAATAAAATAGGGGAAATTAAAAAGAAAATGTCCACAGGCATCACAGACAATTAAAGAAAAAAACTTTACATAGTGAATTCTCAAAGTTGTAAATATGTAATTCCAGTAAATTCACAGATTGCACGTGGAAGGGAAAGGATTTGAACCCAGGAAATCTAACAGCAAAAGCAATTCTGCTTACTATACTAAGACTAAATAATAGAGTACAGTAGTAGAGAAACAATTGCATACCATATAGTTCGAAAATACAAGCACTGCAAAATTAATTAAATGAGTGAAAAATGGGCAATAATTCAAGCACTTGTTTTTTTGCACCTGAATATAACTTATAAAATCAACAACAAATATATATTTAATATAAACATGCAAATTCATTTCAATCCACTATAATGACCATCAAGCTACAGCTTGGACAGCTTCAGTCTAATTCTTCCCTACACATGAGAATTGTCAGATAATCACATTAGACTAGTTCAAATAAATTTTTTTACATAATTTACAATTCCTATAAAATTATATATTAATCTGGAGCACTGAAGCAAGAAAACTTGTGGGTTTTCTCCTTCACTGGCTATTTCTAAGACTCACTTTTATAGGTAGCTTTGATGAGGTTGAAGCATGGGGCAGAGAGCACAGAGACATTTCACCTTAAGGAAACCATTTAACTTCAAGTTTCTCAGATGCTGTCCCAACAAGATAAAATGTGGTCTATAAAGCACACCAATGCCCACTCCTTCCTAAGTCCCACAGACCTTCAATACTGCAGTGCTGCTACATCATCAGGTCCTAAACAACTGGTACTTTAGGTTCACAAAGCTATATGTACAATAAGAAAACAGGCTGACATCTCTCCCAGAAGCAGTTTTCAGCATATTATTTTCTAGAAAAATTAAGACTGTATTTAGACATAAAGTAAGTTGTCATCATTTTCTACCTTTCTTTTATGATGGGTTGTAGATGCATCCATCTCTTCTTCCCCTATGTTATCAATTTGTGAAGTTGGACTACAATTCATCCTCTCTTCTTCTTGCCTCTGCAGTCGGTCTGCTACAGCTTGGATAGCTTCTGTCCACTCTTCTCTATAAAAATGAGTACAATTTCTCATTAATAGTAGATGATAAGTTACTTAAACGTTTTATAATTTATAAGATAAATGCAAATAGTCTACTATGTAGCTGCCCTCTCTGCCATCATCTCTAGGTGATAATCCTAAAAGCATTTTTGCTGCAGGCCTGGAGTCAGGAGTAGCACTTACACAGGAATTACCTTATGTTCACTTAATATTGCATAAATGCATTTGTCTACAAATACACATTATATGTGTACGTGTGCATATATACACACAAGCATACATACAAACAATTTAACTGAAGTTACTCTTTGGAGTGACAGTACTCCCACAAAACTGTAGACTGTCAAACAAAAACCCTGGTGCCCTAGCACCATGACACACTGAGCAGAACAAGGAGACCCACACTCTGGACTCTGAGAAGAAACATGAGCTCACCCTGTGCCCTGTGGTGCCATCCAGGAGGGCACTATTACAGAGAGCAAGTGTATGGTGTGGGGGGGTACATGTGTGTGTGTGTGTGTGAGAGAGAGAGAGAGAGAGAGAGAGAGAGAGAGAGAGAGAGAGAGAGAGAGAGAGAGAGAGAGAGAGAGAGAGAGAGAGAGAGAGAGAATATGTTTCATATCATGTTGACAGAGGTATAACTGAAGACGTACAAGCAGTGAGGAGCGGGCTGAGGTGGGTGCCCTGGGCCTGGGTTGATACTGGGGCCCATGTCTGAGTTCATGGACCTAATGCAGCAAGGTCTGTGTTCATATGTGTAGCCCTGACACCACTGAAGTCCCAGAGGATAGAGATGTACAGAGCTTGCTTTACCCCTCACTGGCTGCAACTCTAGAGAGAACTGGTTCTGCCCCTCACCAGCTGAGGCACTTAGGAGAAAGTGTCCTAACCCTCATCTGGGCAGCACAAGAGAGCCAACCCTGTTCACAGGAGCATGGGCAAGCTGGCTCTGAGGGCTTAAGAATGGGAGAGGGGGCCATGCCCCTTTCATCAGCCATATGGTGGTGTGGGTTAGGGAAAAATGCCCTAGTCTCCTTATGCCTCTACACGTGAAGCAGGTGGGGGACCTGATCCAACCCCTCATCAGCTGTAGCACTTGGGATAACAGGCTCCAGTAGACGTCTCCAAAACCATGAACAAAGTAGATTCAATGAATTACCATAAAAAAGGATAAAACATGATGTTGGGATGGGTTTCAGAGTGTTGGGTGATCCAGGGTGACTTAAAGGGAAGATCAAGAGGTTGTGATCAAAATAACATCATACACATTCAAGAAATGAAAAAAGAGCACAGGTATGCACTCATGCACATGCGCACACTCTCACACATGCACACATTTAAAGGCTACAGTAACTAAACACTATGGAATCTAAGTAAGGACATAGAATGACAGAAATATATCTAGAGGAAGTTAATAAAATCATGCATACATGGTCATTTTGCTAAAGATGCAAAAACCAAAAGCAGAGTTTCTTCAACAAATGGTTTTGGAATATGCAGGTATCAATATGAAAAACAATGAAATGTGAGTCTTATCTTAAACCACACACACATACATACTTTAAAATAAAGACTTAAAGCTACAAAGCTAGAAGAAACCAAAGATGAAATCTCCATGATTCCTGTTTTAGCAGTAATCTTTGACTATAACACCAAAAGCACAAGCCAAAAAATGAACACCAATTTAAAAACTCTGTGTATCAAAGGAAACAGCAGAATGAAAATGACACTCAAGAAATGGGCCAAAGTATCTGAGAAACACACACACACACACACACACACACACACGTATATCTAGACATATGTGTGTATGGGTATATATATATATGTATATGTATATGTATATATATATATATATGAAAAGCTTTTGTTTTGCTTAAAAGAAATTCTCCAAGTCTGAAGCTGGACTGAACTACACAGACAGTTAGGACTATATCCTGACATAAGGAAACTCTGTGTCCCCATACACCTTTCTCCAAAAAAGAAAGAAAGGGGGTTAGTTCCCAAATTTTGATAAGAAACTACAACTCAATAGCCAAAAACAAAAACCAAATAACTAATTCAATTAAAAATGAACAAAATAGTGAAAGTTTGACTTCATTCCTTCCAATTCGTATCCCCTTGATCTCCTTTTGTTGTCTTATTGCTCTAGCTAAAACTTCAAGTACAATATTGAAGAGATACGGAGAGAGTGGACAGCCTTGTTTCGCTATTGATTTTAGAGGAATTGTGTTGAGTTTCTCTCCATTTAGCTTGATGTTGACTGTTAGTTTACTGTACATTGCTTTTATTATGTTTAGGTATGTTCCTGTTATTCCTGATCTCTCCAAAACCTTTATCATGAAGTGGTGTTAGATTTTGTCAAAGGTTTTGTCAGCATCTAGTGAGACAATCATGTGGTTTTTCTTTTGCAGTTTGTTATATGGTGGATTACACTGATGGATTTTCGTATGTTGAACCATCCCTGCATCCCTGGGATGAAGTCTACTCTATCATGGCGGATGATTTATCTGATGTGCTCTTGGATTCAATTTGTCAGTATTTTGTTGAGTATTTCTGCATCAGTGTTCACGAGGGACACTGGTGTGTAGTTCTCTTTCTTAGTTGTGTCTTTGTGTGGCTTGGGTGCCAAGGTAATTGTGGCCTCATAAAAAGAGTTTAGCAATAACCCTTCTGCTTCTATTGTGTGAAAAAATTTGAGGACTATTGGTATTAGCTCTTTGAATTTCTGAAGAATTCTGCACTGAAACCATCTGGCCCTAGGCTTTTTTTTGTTGTTGTTGTTGTTTGTTTTCATTAGGGATTATAGGTCTGTTTAAGTTGTTTATCTGCTCTTGATTTAATTTTGGTAAGTGATCTCTATCCCGAAAATTGTCCATTTTCTTTAAATTTTCAAATTTTGTGGAGTACAGGTTTTTGAAGTAGGACCTGGAGATTCTCTGGATTTCCTCAGTGTCCGTTGGTATTTCCCCCTTTTCATTTCTGATTTTATTAATTTTCATGTTCTCTCTCTGCCTTTTGGTTAGTTTGGATAAAGGTTTGTATATATTGTTGATTTTCTGAAAGAACCAACTCTTTGTTTCATTGATTCTTTGTACTATTTTCTTTGTTTTACTTTATTGATTTCAGCCCTCCATTTGTCTACTTCCCAGGGTAAGTTTGCTTCTTCTTATTCTAGAGCTTTCAGGTGTTCTCTTAATTCTCTAGAGTGACTAATTCGTCAGTTTCTTCATGTGTGTACATAGTGTTATGAACTTTCTTCTTAGCACTGCTTTCAGAGTGTCCCATAAATTTGGGTATGTTGTGTCTTCATTCTCATTGAGTTCTAGGAAGTCCTTGGTGTTTTTCTTTATTTCTTCCCTTACCTAGGAGTGATCCACTTGAACATTGTTCAATTTCAATTTCTATTAGTTAGCAATTTGTGTTGTTGCTGAATTCTAATTTTAAGGCATGGTGGTTCCATAAGATACAGGGGGTTATTCCAATTTTTTTTTAATTTGTTGAGGTTTGCTATGTTGTGGTCGATTATAGAGAAGGTCCCATGTGGCGCTGAGAATAAAGTATATTCTTTTGTGTTTGGATGGAATGTTCTCTAGATGTCTGGTAAACTTAACTGGGTCATAACTTCTGTTAGTTCCTTTGTATCTTTGTTAAGTTTCTGTATGGTAGTCGTGTCCAGTGGTGAGAGTAGGATCCTGAGGTCTCCCACTATAAGTGTATGGGGTTTAATGTCTGATTTGAGTTTTAATAATGTTTCTTTTACAAATGTGGGTGCCTTTGTATCCCATACATAGATGTTCAGAATTGAGACTTCATCTTGATGGATGTTTCCTGTGATGAATATGAAAAGATGGTCTTCATCTCTTTCGAATGATTTTAGTTTGAAGTCTAATTTGTTAGATGTTAGGATAGCTATACCAGCTTGTTTCTTGTGTCCATTTGATTGGGAAAACTTATCCCAACCCTTTATTCTGAGGTAATATGTATCTTTGAAGTTGAGGTGTGTTTCTTGTATGCAGCAGAAGGATGGATTCTGTCTTCCTATCTATTCTGTTAGCCTCTGTCTTTTTTTAGGCGACTTAAGACCATCAATATTGAGGGAAATTAAGGGCCATTGATTGTTAATTCTTCTTTGTTTTAGATTTGGTGGTGGTGGTGGTACTGTGGGTGGATTTACCCTGCTTTTTCTTTTGGCTTTTGGTAAAGTGTGATTATCTATTGCCTATGTTTTTGGTTGCAGATGATATGATAGTTTACATATGTGACCCGAAAAACTCTACCACGGAACTCCTACAGCTGATAAACACCTTCAGAAAAGCGGCAGGATACAAGATTAATTCAAAAAATCATTAGCCCTACTATATACAGACTATAAGTGGGCTGAGAAATAAATCAGATAAACACCGCCCTTTACAACATAAAATACCATGGGGTAATGCTAACTAAACACATGAAAGAACTTTGAGTCTTAAAAGAAAGAAATTAAATAAGATACCAGAAAATGGAAAGATCTCCCATGCTCTTGGATAGGTAGGTCAATAAGTAAAAATGGCAATCTTGCTAAAAACAATCTACACATTCAATGCAATCCCCATCAAATACTAGCATAGTTCTTCACAAACCTTGAAAGAAAATACTCAACTTTATATGGAAAAACAAAATACCCAGGATATCCAAAACAACCCTGTACAATAAAGCAACTCTTGGAGGCATCACCATGCCTGACTTCAAGCTCTATTATAGAGACATAGTCCTGAAAACAGCTTGGTATTGGCACAAAAGTAGACAGGTAGACCAATGGAATCAATTGAAAACCCTGATATTAACCTACACAGCTACAAACACCTGATCTTATAATTTTTTAAAGTTATACAATGGAAAAAAGAAAGCTTCTTCAAACAAATAGTGCTGGCATCACTGGATGTGGTCATGTAGAAGATTGCAGATAGATCCATGTCTATCATCATGCACAAAACTTAAGACCAAATGGATCAAAGACCTCAACATAAATCTACCCACACTGAACCCCTTAGAAGAGAAAGTGAGAGGTACCCTTGAATGAACTGGTACAGAGGACTGCTTCCTGAACATAACACCAGTAGCACAGACATTGAGATAGACAATTAATAAATGGAATCTACTGAAACTGAGAAGCTTCTGTAAGGCAAAGGACACAGTCAACAAGACAAAATGGCAGCCCACAGAATGGGAAAAGATCTTCACCAACCCCACATCTGACAGAGGGCTGATTTCCAAAATACAATGATCTCAAGAAGCTAGTCATCAAAAATACCAAACAGTCCAATTAAAAAGTGGGGTGCAGAACTAAATGAAGAATCCTCAATACAGGAATCTAAAATGGCTGAAAGGCACTTAAGAAGTGCTCAACATCCTTAGCCATCAGGGAAATACAAATCAAAACAACTCTGAGATACCATCTTACTCCTGTCAATGGCTAAAATCAAAAATACCAATGACAGTCTATTCTGGAGAGGATGAGGAGAAAAGAGGAACACTCCTTCATTGCTGGTGGAAGTGCCAACTTGTACAACCACTTTGGAAATCAGTATGGTGGTCCTTCAGGAAAATGGGAATCAGTCTGCTTCAAAATCCAGCAAATCCTCTCTTGGGCATATACACAAAGAATGCACATTCATACAAGGACATATGTTCAACTATGTTCATAGCAGCATTATTTGTAGTAGCCAGAACCTGGAATCAACCTAGATGACCCTCAACCAAAGAATGGCTGCAGAAAATTTGGTATATTTACATAATGGAGTATTAGCGGGAGAAAAAATGAAATCTTATAATTTGCAGGCAAAAGGATGGGAAGAAAATATTCTGAGTGAGATAACCCAATCACAGAAAGACAAGCAGGATACGTACCTACCCATATATGGATATTAGACATAGAGAAAAGGATTAGCAGCCTACAATCCATACCTCCAGAGAAGCTAGGAAAAAAGGAGGACCATAAGAGAGACTTCCATGGTCCCCCAGTGAAGCAGAAAAGGACTAGAGCCTCTGAACAAATTGGCAGCTTGGCGGGAGGGGAGGGAGAAAGAAAAGGAGAAGAGTAGGGGGAAGGAGAAGATGAGGTATCAGGAAAGGTTGAGTTGGGGGAGGAATAGAGGAAAGCAAGAAAAGAGGCAAATCAATAGAGGTAGTCAATATAGGTTTAAAGAGAAATCTGGCACTAGGGAAATGTTCAGAGATCCATAAGGATGACCCCAACTAAGAATCTAGGAGAGGCTGCCTTTGATGCCCTCCCCTATAATGAGAAAAATGACTACCTTAAATGTCATCCTAGAGCCTTCATCTAGTAGCTGATGGAAGCAGAAGCAGAGATCCGTGCCGCACAAAATCCAGTAGATTCTGTGTGACAAGTTCCACAGACTGAGGAGGTAACTTCAAAAGGAGGAGGTCTCCTGGAAACAGTTGTGGAACTCTTGGACGGAGAAAAATATTGAGCTGTATCTCTTATGGCAAGCTCAGTTCTTCTATTTTTTTTCCATATTAAGGAAATGTTCCTGAAAGCCTATGCTGACATCTCAAACAAAAGATATAAATGAGAAACCGTCCTGAGACGTGGTCACTGACCATGACCTGGTCTTTTCGCATCATTCACATCATTCACATAAATAAATAGTAATAATACTGAAAAAACTTCCCCAACAATAAAATTTCATATGGCTGTGCATGTGTGATTAAGAGTGGTTTTAATGTTTGAAAAAGAAAGCATTTTAATAAGAAAGCTTTTTAATAAGGAAAAAGCAAAATAGCTCAACATTTCAAAGACTCACAAAAACTAGATAACAGCTATCAAACAACTGTGAACTAGTTAAAAGATGTCAAACAATAACTGACCATAAAAATGTATTAACCTGATCTTAGAAATAGGCGGTTAGGTGCAGTTAGGTGCAGTTAGTGCTGAATGATTTTCTGATCTACTGTTGGGTAAGTTATGTGTTTGTGACAAGTAACGATAATGTCATTTGGATATTGCGTCACTGAATACAACCCCTGAGATGATATTTGTTTCCATTATAAAAAGACTTACTTGAGAACTGCAAAATACACTCAGATTCAAACTGCCTCTGTGTTTGTTTCTGTTTGTCACTGCCGAATCCTTACCCATCTAGTCTTCGAGAACCCTCATCCCAGGGACCTCCACACCCAGCAAGGTGGTCAACCTGAACTGCAAAGCAAGAAACTGTCTATGCCCTCCCACCCCAAATTTAAAAGATCCAGCTTATAACCAACTTTGGAAACAACAATTCAATATAAATCAAACTTCAGTAAATGTTAAATTAACAGGGAAGTATTGTATTAATAAAGCAGTCAAGCAAGCAATTTGCCATCACATCCTGGACTATGTGCTAAAGACTTTAAATGAAAACAATAAAATAAGGTACATGTCTATCAACTGATGAATGACCCTTGCTGTCAAGAAGCTTAAAAAAGCAAACAAAGGTTATAATGATACACTTGGTTAAAAAGCAAGGGAGGGCTGGAGAAATGGCTCAGTGGTTAAGAGCACCAGCTGCTCTTCCAGAGGGCTCAGAGGTTTGATTCCTAGCACTCCAGTTCCAAATCTGAAACCCTCTTCAGGTTTCCATGGGCAGTACACATAAATGGTACATGGACACACATACAGGCAAAACACACACACACCTAAAGTGAAAAGAAAAGGGAACACAGTCATGTAACTATGTAGCCAAGGGGCCTACCTATTCTACCAAAATATGTGCTGGGGGGAAACTGCTGCTTGACACTAAAACCCAAAAGACACTAGAACTATCATGACTACAACTCTAGGTGAAGCACAGACAAATGAAGAAGCCACTGCAGAAAGACTAGGGTAGGTAAGGGTAAAGTTCAATATAATTATAAGTGAAAATTGGCGGGGGGCACACAGCCTGTATGCACTCCAAAACCAAGAATAATATTAAGCATATAGAAAATAAACCATTATCAGTGCCAAACTGGTATTTTTCTTTTATATATTCCCTAAAGAAATGACACATCCCAATTTATTGATTGAAAGTATTATTAAAATAAAAAAATTGGAAAAAATTGCTATGACTGGGTCTGTACCTCAATGACAGAGCACTCTGAACTGAACTCCTAGAATCTAGTTGGAGAGACAGAGGAGTGATGAGTAAAGGAGTCAAGACCAGGCTGGTGAAACCCACATAGACAGCTGACCTGAACAAGGGGGAGCACATGAACCCCAGACTGATGGCTGAGAGGCCAGCATGGAACTGATCCAGATCCCCTGAATGTGGGCGTCAGTGAGAAGGCCTTAGCAATCAGTATTTATCCCTGGCATAGGAATGGATTTGGGGAGCCTATTCCACATGGAGAGATGCTCTCTCAGCCTGGACACATGGGGGAGGGCCTAGACCCTGTCCCAGATGATATGACAGACTTTGGAGATCCCCCACGGAAGGCCTCATCTTCTCTGAGGAGTGGAGCAAGGATGGGGTATGAAGGTTGGGGGGCAAGAGAGGAGGGGAGGGAGAGGGAGATGGGATTGACATGCGAAGCAAGCTTGTTTCTAATTTAAATAAGAAAAAGAAAAATTGATAGAACACTCACCTAGCATGTGCAAAGCCTTGTTTCAATCATTATTTCAAAATCTTTTGTCACTGATTATTTATTAGGATTTTAAAAGATTGTTTGTTTTCATTAAATTCTTAGGGAGGCCTGTCAGAATAAGTTATTCACTTAGAAAAGAAGGCTATTAACATTCTACTTTGAAAAGTTGCTGATTATGGTCAAATACAATAACATTTGTAAGAAAACAACTTGGTGATTGGTGCTGCCATACCTAACTCATTAACAAGCCATTAGATAAAAGAACATTTAGATAGAATTAGCAAGTGGTAAAATAGGTACAAAACCAGTATGGATCAAAAGAATGGAAATATGGCCTCATAGATGTCAGAGCTAATCAGTATCATGGTGCTGCTGCTCTCATCAGTCACAAAGCAACTAGTTACACTAATTAATCACATTATTTACTAGTATTCTAAACTTGAGACCCAAATCTCAGAATCCTTCTCAACATAGTATTGCAGGAAGCCACCTGAAACAAATATGCATATGGGCAGGAAAGCTACTTGAAACCATTTACTACCATATTTCATTCAGAATTTCAAACACGAGTACAATTAACTCTACATATTACTAGATTATATAGTTTGTATATTAATTGTGTTTAAGTTTTTAAAAATACTGTATGCTGTTTTCTCTGAAAAAGCTTATTTTAATGTAGCCCAAGAGTGATTTATCGTAAGGCAACATAAACAGTATGAAGTATAACACAGTGCGAATGTATTTATATCTAATTACAAACAAACCAGATACAAATATATCTTTAGACTATCTTTAACATAATAAAAATAAACAAGTCTCTTACCTTTCCTCTGGAGTATCTACATGAAATGTTCTCTCTATAACAGTGGTCCATTGAAGACATCTGATAATAAATGTATTTGGCTTTGGTCGTTCTGTTTTCATTAACTGGCATTCTATAATAAATAAAGTCAAACATCACTTTAAATATACAAGTACTTAAACCATTAAGTAAATAGGTGACAACTACACAGTGTTATTCTAAACAGAACACACTGCAACTGACTGGTCTCCATAGATTACAGGCCATTCACAACCTAATCTTAGTATTTCTTTCCAGGCCATTACCACTATGGCCAGTTCTATCAGTTAATGAGACAATTCAATTTTTCCCAAACACAACTTGTTCTTTCCTGTATCTTTAACTTTGCTTTAGCAGCTTCTACCATCTGAAATACGTATTTATTTTACCGCTATCAATTTGCAAACCCCAATTGTCATGACAATACCAAACCTTCAAGGTGTATGTGAAATCTGTTCATTCCTTTTTGTTAACCTCTGGGCACAGACTTACCGTTTTTACTCCTCTATAGTTTCATTATTTATGATTATGACCCGTCTTGCCCTTGATATCGTATTATAGTATCAAACATATTAAGAAGGTAGTCTTAAAAAAAAAGAAGGTAGTCTTTAACCTATGAAGTCTCCTGAAATAATAAACTGCTTGCAATTCTTGGTATACACAGTCACTAGAATCAGTCAGTCATGAACTGATTAGATTATGTCAGGAAATATCCAGGAAGATTTCAAAGAAAAGAAGTATAGTACAATGGTTAAAATATGATATTTAGAGTCTCATACCTCTCTCACAAGGGAAAGGAAAGTAGAAGCTACTTCTAAAGTAAGCCAAGCAAGACCTTAGTTAAAGCCCACAACCCTCACAAGCCTATAATCCATTTATAAGTTCTGTAAGATAGTGATTGCTTCGGGTGATGGGTCAGAGGCAGAGATAAACACCATTGTGTTATTCTGTATTACTGCAAGGGCAGTGGCAAAGGTACCATCTTGAAAGAGAACCTATTGTAAAACCAACCAAACAAACAAAAACAAGCAAACAAACTAAAAACCTGAGCCATGGTAGGAGACTGCATACAGGGAACAACTATAGATCAAGGAATCTTAATTTGGCGTGCCACAAGTCCAGGGTAAAGCAGTTGTATAGAATGAGGATCAGACACTGAAAAGTAGCAGAACGTGTGTAGCAAGAGGCTCCAATAAGATGAGGAAGTGCAGAGAACAGATTCATTAACTGAGAATCACCCTGGAGAGTCCAAGCTGTAAGCTTGAGGTCAGCAGGAAGATAAAACTCTGGAGCCACCTATCTTGAAAGTACAAAGGCAGGTATTACACTTGCACAAGCACAGCATTATAGCTGACTCCTACAGTTCCAACACACTTGGAAAGCATCCACTGGCTAGGTAATTAGCCAACCCTGGAGCACAGAAACCAAGAAAGGGGTAGTATCTCAGTAAGGTGGGATAACCTGCCCAGTCCAGAGACTGCAAAGTTAAGTGTGGTGCATAGAGGTCCCAGCACATGACCAAGAAGAAGCTATTGAAGTTAAGACAGTTCTGGCAGAAGTCAGACATTTATCTAGTACTGATTCAGCAACAGCAAAAACCAGAAAAAAAGGCAAAAGTTCACAAGTTCATCAGACCCTCCCAACATACACACTTGGATGCTACAGTTTCCAAAGACACAGAGAGAATCTGACTTATACTTCACCTTTCTTTTAATCTTGTCTTCCACTTAAAAATAAAGTTTAATAATATTTTTATATTTTTATTTAGTATGTTTTTCCATATTAATCTAATTTTATGCATTTGTTGTTAGTTACCTTTTTTCCTTTCCTTATCTTCTATTTTGCTTCTATATGATTCTTCTCTTTTCCCTTTCTACTTTTAAGATTATTTTAACTTGAATGCATTGAATACAAAATACATTTTACATTTTTCTTTATTTCCCTTCCTGAGAGAGAAAGAGAGAGAGAGACAGAGAGAGAGAGAGAGACAGAGAGAGAGAGAGACAGAGAGAGAGACAGAGAGAGAGACAGACAGAGAGACAGACAGAGAGACAGAGACAGAGAGAGAGAGAGAGAGAGAGAGAGAGAGAGAGAGAGAGAGAGAGAGAGAGAGAGAGAGAGAGAGAGAGAATGAGTCTCTCCTCTACCTTATGCTTCTGGATCAAATGTAAACTCTCAGCTAATGCTCCAACATCCTGCCTGCCACCATGGTCCCTGTTTAGATTGTCCTGGATTGTAAACTTCTGGAACTATGAGACTCAAATTAAATTGTAAATTGCTTTGGTCATGGTGCTTTGTCACTGCAGTAGAAAAGGAACTAAGACACTGATTTTATTGTATTTAAGTATGTCCATACTTATCCTACTTGATATTTAACTTGATAGTACATTATAGCAGTTTTTCCATTTGTTGTTCTATAGCCATAGCTATATTAGAAGGCTTTCACAGACATTAAGTGTTGTACGAAATAATAAAAACCCAGAGACTGATACTGGGTTTCAAGCTGAAGATCAGAAAAGCAAAGCAGCCAAGGCACCAGAGAGCTCTTACCTCTAACAAGGCTGAAAGAAGGATACTGTCCCTCAACATGGTTGGAGACTAATTGCCAGAATACCAGGCCCTGCTCCTATCTTATATACCTCTCTGTTAAACTGATTCACTCTCATGTAGCCCTGGGTGGCCTTGAACTCAAAGAGATCCATCTGCCTCTGTCTCCTAAATCCTGGGAATAAAGGTGTGTATCACCACTGCCCAGCTCCTATGGCTGTGGCTAGCTTTGCATTCTGATCTCCAGGCAAGCTTTATTAGATCATAAGCAACATATCACCACAATTAAACACACGCCTGTGTTTCTATGACTTGATGCTGTTAAAGCAGCTTGGTTTTTGCTCTCTAAGTTGTACTAAAGATTAAGCCTTCAAGAGTAAATAAAACCAGAAGATAAAGTCACACTAAGAGACATGCAAATTATAGTTCAGAGACACAAGAAATATGAAAAACTAAGGGGTCATGATTCCTCTACATCGACTGCCAAAGTACAACATACTAAAATATAGAAATGATAGATGAAAATATCATAAGTTTACCAGTAAAAATAAGGACATGAAAAAGTATAAAAATAAGCAGATGAATTCAATCCAGAAACCAGAAAGTTCAAAACACATGAGAAAAAGGGAAAAGGAAAATGGATAGGAAGTAATTAGCAATATTTATAAAAAAACAAAACAGGAGACAATTCAACAAGAGAACCGATTTTCAGGGCGAGGGGTGGAAACGTAGGATGAAAATTTGAATAAGCGGGGGAAAAGTAAGTGCATAACAGAAATTGCCATCAACAGACTTGATCCAGTAAAGACAAAATAGAGCAAAGCAGAGATAAAGGCCAACAAAGAACTGTAATTAAGCATCAATAAGGAAAAGTAAGTTAATGGGCATCACCAAAATATCTAAGGATTCTGAAATACAATCAAGGTGGCAAATCTATTAATCCATAGAATAGAAAGATCTGAGATAAACATTAAAGGAACTGAAAATGTATTTGATGAAATTATAGCAGAAAACGTCCCAAATATATAGATAGACATCCAAACAGAAGAGATGCCTAAAATCCCAAACAGATATGGGAATCTCTTCAAAAACACATTAAAGTCAAACTGTAAAATAATCCAACACAAAGAAACAACATTAAAAGCTGTATGGGAAAAACCTTGAACTCACAAAGGCAAACATATTAGAATTTAAAATAAAATCAGATCTCTTATTAGTGTCCTTAAAAGTAAGGAGACATGGAACTTTGTCATCCAACAAAAACAGCTGTGAAAACTGACAAAGGCAAAGAGACATTTAAAGGTGAGCACAAACTAAAGCAGTTCATGACCACAAAGTCAAAACCATAGGAGACATTTATTTACAGAACACTACACACAGAATGTGAGGCAGTCTCAATCACAGGAGCACAGAAAAGAGAAAGTTCTGTGGCAGGAAGGCATGAAGGAGAGAAACCTAGGAAAGAGTTCATCATGGTCAGTGTGGTAAACCAACACATCCTGATACTAACAGGAGAAAATAGCAAACAACAATGGTCCTACTAGTCAGAAGAACAACTAACAAAATTATAATAACAAATAAGTGTCTCTTAATATTAACTTAAAAAGTAAACAATCTGAACTCACCAATGAAGAGATACTGAATTGGTGACTGAATTGAAAAACTAAATCTATCTGTTGTTTCCAAAAAATAAATCCCACTGGTAAAGGGACCAAAAGACGGGGTCAAAGGGTGAAAAAAAATCTACCAAGAAACTGTAAACGAGTTGTTATAACTGTTCTGATAGCTAATAAAGTAGACTTAACAGTAAAATTGGTCACAAACAGAAAGTGTAAACGAGCTGTTATAGATGTTCTCATAGCTAATAGACAACAGTAAAATTTATCAAGAGATCATAGAGAGCCACTATATTAGCAATGAGAATAATTCATCAAGAGTATAAATTAATTATAAATAAAAATGCATCAAATGTAAGGCCTCCCAATTTCATAAAGTTCTGATGAACATAAAATGTCATATAGGTCCTGAAAACCTAATGTGTGATCTCAATATCCTACTCTAATCTGTAAACAAGTCATCCTAACCAAAATCAACTGAACCTAAAATGAAATCATTAGCACAACCCAGAGCTCTGTAAAATGAGCAATATTATGCCACAAAAATCCTAAATTTTCAGATTATTCCTATGTGTAAGCACTGTGTATGCATGCTATATATGACACATGCATATATATGACTGTGCCTCTGTGGAAATGTGGAGTCCAGAGCAGGGCACTAGGCATCCTTCTGCTTTCAACCGGAACCTTACTTTCAAATGTCTGTTAAACTGACTGTTATATTACGCAGTCACACTAGTTAACCTTCTCCAGAGTAACCAACTACAAGCTGAATTTCAAACACTCTGCTTACTTTACACCATTCTAAACCACAGATGACAAAGTTTGTTCGAAATTCTAATTTTTCTGCAAACTTGAAAGCCAATTAACAGAACTGTAACATGCCAAATCAATATATATAATCTCCAAAAGAAATTCTGAGAAATCATCT